CGGACACAAGACCAAAAAAAGGTTGGAAAGTTAAATAACATGAAACTTCCACGAATTTCACTCAAATAAAGTCCAAGGTCACGAAAAGGAAAGCTGTCCATCCAAGATTTTTATGTTTCTGACACAGAAATTAAACGTAAAGTTAAAGGAAAAGAAATTTCCTGGAAATTGTACAAAAACACCAGCAAGAGACAGCACAACTATGTTTTTCAAAATTAAAATCAATCACAAAATGCCAAATTTCTTTTCCAAACAAAAATTTGTTGTATAGTGGCACTTGTAAAGACATTTTTTTCATTTTGAAATTCAAAAGAAAAGAAATGGGTTCGTTCGATGTAAATTTTTTGAAAATAAATTTTCTAATAAGTAATATTTTTGAAGAAGGAAGTAAAAAAAAACATCTAGATTCACCTAAATAATTATTTTATTGAAAAAATATGTAATTGAAAAATCTGCATAAAAAAACATGAACTTATTTATTCTTAAATCAAAGCACTATCTATTATAATAGTTGTATTAGACAATTAAAATATCACAAGAAATGTTACCTCAATCTTATTACACGTCGACGATAATAAATGTAACATAAATGTCCATAATAAAAAAGCTGTCAACTCTCAAAACCGCCGTTTTGTAAGACTTTTCTAAGTTCTCAATCAATTATAATTAATTACTTTTAATTTCATAAGACCTATATATAGTGGTGGTGCTCGGCCCATTGACGAACGAGCTCGGCTCGTGTGACAGTATTTACATACTGCTTTATTTGCCAATTTTTTTTTGTCATGCCAGTCGTTGTTGACAGTATTTACATGATGCTTTCGTTTCTGGAAGTCCATCGATTACACGACCAGTGTTAACCAATTTGAAATGGTCCCAACATTTTGCCTGCTTCTTCCCCTTATTACATACTGCTTTCGTTTCTGGAAGTCCATCGATCACACGACCAGTGTTAACCAATTTGAAATGGTCCCAACATTTTGCCTGCTTCTTCCCCTTTCTCTTCCCTCTTGCATCGGGAATATTTAGTGCAGGTTCTTCATCTTGTTCCAAATCAATAGGAACACTGGGATCAACATCAACGTCATCCAAATCGATCGGATCGGCATCGCCTTCACGAACATCGAAATCGTCAATGTCTTCTGGAATTGGTAGTTGGTTGAGACCGGCAAATTCATTCCCAAATTGATTTTGGGCAGGTGTTTCACCTTCCATACCGAACAAGTTTTCAACAAATGCTCGTGGATCCATTTGTGAATTGTTGAAATAGAATGTA